TTGAATAGAGGAGTGTTATAACCCTTCAAATAGGGCACTGCCCTCTATAACATAGGACACATGGCTACCCTAGGATAGGAGGGAATGCCTCTGCTAAGCTGACTACTAGTACCACAAAGGTGTACATTCTCTAAATACATAGGAAGCATGCTTTTTAATTCATACATTCATATGCAATTTAATCGATGGATTAATCAATCAAACAACTAAACTCATAGGATGACTTTGTTGACATCCAAATTAATAATCTATGGGTCTGGTCAAGAAAGAAGACTGCTCATAAATTTCTCAGCAAGAACGCTTATGTAAAAAAAAAGACGCATATGTGCTCTTGATGTTTTTCTCAATGGGTTATTTCTAAAAATTATATGAACAAATTGTTGTAATGGATCAAAAAGTGAGGTGTTCTAGATCCCACAGCTCTCTCACTATTAGTTCTTCTTGTCCATTATGATCACTTCCACATATAATACTCTGTAGTGGTTCATGCTTAAATAGCTCATGATCGTTCAAAAGAGACAATTATTTCAATGTTTCTGCTCCCATAACAATGTAGCTGTGTCACTGATGAGTGCAGCTAATTTTCTGGGCTGGTTGCACATATACAGTGCTTTCAAAAGGCATGTTGCTCACATTGGGTAATAAAAAGAGCTTTTAAATATTTGAATATTTTTATTTTAAAATTAAAAAAAGCACAGGTTGCATCTGTATTTTTTAAAACCTAACCTACCCCCTCCCCAAAGGAATATTGGATTGGAAAATCCAGCTTCACATTGTAGACTTTGAAAATGTCAGTTATGAAATATTTAAACTGTGCAACATAGCCTTCGACTTTGGTTTATAAAACTTTAATTTTGCGAGTTGCTAGCTCTCCAATTGTTCAATATTTTTAATTCTACAAATCTATGTTTATTAACTTTCAAGGTTTAAACAGTGTTACTGAATCTATTAAAAGTAAATTGTAGTGACTTTGCAGAATTAAAGCCCTACTATAATTTGCTATCTATTTCTGCATTATAAAAAACATTAACTCAAAGATAAAATAAAATACATTGATTTCACAACTATTTGTTTCCATAAATCACCCCAAATATACTGCTATATACTCACACAAGCACTATAAAGGCAGTTCAAGCTTATTTATTTATGAAAAGGTAAAGGAACCCCTGACCATTAGGTCCAGTCGCGGACGACTCTGGGGTTGCGGTGCTCATCTCACTTTACTGGCCAAGGGAGCCGGCGTACAGCTTCCAGGTCATGTGGCCAGCATGACTGAGCCGCTTCTGGCAAAACCAGAGCAGCGCACGGAAACGCCGTTTACCATCCCACCGGAGTGGTAACTATTTATCTACTTGCACTTTGACGTGTTTTAGAACTGCTAGGTTGACAGGAGCAGGGACCGAGCAACGGGAGCTCACCCCGTCGCGGGGATTCGAACCGCCAACCTTCTGAATGGCAAGCCCTAGGCCAGGGGTCAGCACACTTTTTCAGCAGGGGGACGGTCCACTGTCCCTCAGACCTTGTGGGGGTGGTGGACCGTATTTTGAAAATAAAAATAAAAATGAATGAATTCCTATGCCCCACAAATAACCCAGAGATGCATTTTAAATAAAAGCACACATTCTACTCATGTAAAAACACGCTGATTCCTGGACCGATCGCGGGCTGGATCTAGAAGGCAATTGGGCTGGATCCAGCCCCAGGGCCTTAGTTTGCCTACCCATGCCCTAGACTCTGTGGTTTAGACCACAGCGCCACCCGCGTCCGTTATGAAAAGTTACAAAACTCTAATTGGCACCCCTAGTAGTGCAATCAATCCCATGCATGTCTACTTAGAAGTAAGTCTTGCTGAATTCTGTGGGACTTAGTCCAAGGACATGATTCTAGGATTGCAGCCTTAATTTACAATCAAGACAGAAGAAAGTGTGTGTGTGTTTTGGTTCACCTACAGTACACTATCATCCATCATTACCCTAGCACTTGAAATTCCAGTACTAGTCTGCTTGCTCCCCCTACCAAGGAGACTGTTTGCCGGTTTCCTGTCCACCCACTGTTTACCTAAGGTAACATGTAACTCAAATGGATGATAGAGTTATAGGGTTGACTCACATTAACTGTCTCCTGGAGGAAGAAACAAACAAAATGCTCTTAATCAGTCATTGTCTTATGTGCATGATGGAGGTACATGAGATTTTCCACAATGAAAAGTTGGGGGAGCAGGGTGAGAATGTAATAAAAGTAACTTTTGCTGATGTGCTTTGCCTCCTGATGTTTTGAACCACAATTCCCAACAGCTCCAGCCAGTATGGATGGGCTGATGGGAGTTGTAGTCCAAAATATATGGAGGGCAACAGCTGATAATGGTGGTGCCACCACTGAAAAGGCCTGTTCTCGTGTTGCCACCCTCCACGCCTGCTTTAGGCATTGGTTCGCTAGGATCTGGCCTTAGCAACCCACCTGTGTTGTTGATGTCAACATCTCAGCCTCATAGAGCTTCCTCTCAAATAGTATTTCACATAGTCATTCAGGTTTGTGTGGAAGCTGAATTTCTTTGAACCCTAGATTGAATTATGAGTCATTATACATGTGTTCTCATTCTTGTTTTATCCTAAATAGTTCCTGTAAATGGTGTTTGATTTCTCCTACTCTAAAATAAGGCTCCCCGTAATAGGAATAAAGTTCAAATATACACCAATACATTCCATAGTCTCCCCACATTCTATTAGGCAAGTGCCGCTGATGGTGCTTTTTCAATATCAGATATGCTTGTTTATAGCATTCAGAGAGCATTCGCTGTTCTAATGCTTCTGATTCCTTAGAAAAATCTTCAGTGTCATTTTGGCTGCTTGTTGTGACAAATACTGTGAACACTGAGGAAAATCAAGATAGGAACTCGTGGCACGTTAACAAAGGCAAAACGCTCCACGTTGTAAGTGCTTTTATTTGTGGTGACTGTTTCTTAGAGGTGTGTTCCTCCACCAACAGCTAGATCTGGATAGTTTAACAAAGCTTTGATTAAATGTATTATTCTCTATCAAACATAATTGTTTCGTTAAAGACTTGTTACTTGGGATGACCAAGGGTAAAATTACTTGCAACCTAACATCCTTCATACTAGAAAGGAATTCCAGAATTTGTCTTATTATTTGCCCCGTAAATGGAACGGAAATCAATGCACTGAATACAATTGGACTTTGCTGTTGCTCCTGCCTTCAGGCTGCAGATGGTACACAACTGATTACGTCCCCCAAATCCGCATTGCCTTTCTTTTGCATTGAACTAAGTAGAATGCAATAACATGTCGTTGTAATTCTGGTGGGAGACCAACTGCAGCAGAAAGGAAACTGTGCTGTATGCAACTAATGCAGGGTGGAATGAGAAACAATGCCTTCTTACATTCCTGCATCTATAGTGTCTTTTTTTAAGGAAGAAGAAAAAGATCTGAGGGCCCTGTTTATCTAGGGAGAAAAGAGGAGGCTGTTCTTCCACTCTCCTAGCAGAGGCAGACCTTGGGGTCTCAAAGTACCGCGCCACCCTGTGTGATGCCAGAATTTGGCATCCTCCGCTTCTTGCCTTCCATTTCACATCATAGTTGCAGCACTCCTCAGGCACCACGCCCAGTGCAGCTGAACCAGTCGTGGTCCCCTAAATCTTCCTCTTCTCCCAGAATACCCCCATTTTGGCTTTTTCTAATGTGCTTTGGACCAGAGTGGCAGAGGAGCCAGCACCATCGGAGATGGATTGTGGTAGAAGACATTCTTTGCATGCAAAAGATCCTAAACTCAATCCCAGGGCTCTATAGCTAGGAGGCTAATAAATAAGACTTAGGTTGTTGCCAGTTGGTGTTATTCGGCTAGATGGACTCATAGTCTGACCTTTTAGAATGGGTTGTGTTGGTAATAGTATGTATTCATAACATTGTACGTGGCCATATGGATTCCAGCCATAGTCAGTATTCACTGTGATTGTCCCATCTTTGCATACTGCAACTAACACAAATCTAGTTGGCATTCCTGCATCGCAGGGGGTTGGACTAGATGACCCTTGGGGTCCCTTCTAACTCTACAGTTCTAAGATTCTATGATTCTATTGTCAGGAGTGAAGACATGTATAGACATTGTGAGATTTCATGGGGAAAGTAGTAACAAGGCTGGAGAAGACTAATTTAGCCTTGAGAACCGATAATATATAAAGTGCAATATAAATATGAAATGTAACATCTAAAAGAAAGCATAGCATAGGAGGAAAAAAGTTTGTGTTATCTTCTGTTTAGCCTCAATAATACAGCCAGTGAAAATGAAAGTCCTCCAAATTATTTTGTATATAATAACAAAAGCCAAGGTAGAATATTCATGAGGAACTCACCAGCAAAAGATAAACAGAGGGTAAAAGCATAAGTCATTGATGAGGCCATTTACCTGAAACCTTCAAATTTGCAAGTGTGGAGTTAAATGGCTTTTTTCCTTCTTCTCTTGCAATTTTTTAATGCAAGTTGCCAATAGGCTTGCACTAAAAAGACTCTCAACCTGTTGAAGTGTATTCTACAACTGAATTCTATGATGGTTTTTCTTTTTTCTCTTCTTCTGTTTACTCCTGGGAGCAAATGGACCAGTGTAGAGTAGGCCTAGAGGCTGCAATAGGAGTGGGATTCTCTCCCACTGCTTCTTTTTTGCATCTAAAATAATGTAATGGGGACCTGCACAGAGTAAATCCCACTTTTTCCAGCTCTTATGTTCATCCATCATAATATTGGGTTAATTTGAGATTTCACATTTCATGCTTAGGTTATTTCTTAAGTTCTCTTTTGAGACAAGCTGCAGTGTACTAACATGCTGCATTTATTATATCTTTGGAAACTAAGATCAGTTTTCTTCACTTGGGTGTATCTGAAGGACCAGCACAGTTCTAGAAGAATATACAGTGGAAGTAGCAGTAAATATTTTTTAAATATCCCTTGTCATTATTGGTTTGCAACTCTTTTGACAATGCGAGTCAGCTGATAACAGAACTGTCAACACACACACAAACATGTAGTAGCTTAACCAAATGACATTGTATTATATCATATTTCAACAATGTAAATAAATTATATGGATATATATAATTTTATTGCTATTATATGGAAAATGTTTTGTACCTAAGAAAAAGCCCAAAGTAGAAGCAGCCGGGTTGGCCCATAAGAAAAAATCCTAATCAATATTAGGACAGTGCTTTTATTTGACAAATTGAGATGTCACTAAATACCTATTGTGCAAGCTTTTGAATTACGTGTACTTCATTAGGGTAGGTGGGAGGAAAAAAACCAGGCTGGTTTTAAAACCATCCAGGTATGCATTTATAAAGAGTGTGAGAGGCAGTAGTAGACTCTATTAAGTGCTATGCATTTTCAGGTTGTACCAAGACACAATGGCAGATTCTCTAAAAAATATAAAGATCAGTTGTTACTCACATCTGCCTCCACCTTAAGCAAAAACAGCAAGTTCTTTGGTAGGTAGACAACGGGTATAAAGAAGAGAAACTGGGCAGTCTTTATATTGACAAAAGCAGATAGCAATTTTAGGTGGTGTGCTAGGCTAAAAAAAATGCATAAGATAAACTAGCTAGCTTTACCTAACAGTTTTGGTGCAATTTGTCCTATCCTATGTAATACAATACCATCATAATGGCACTTGTTCAGCAGACTATTCTGTATTGTAACAAAATGTATTTTATTTCTAAAGGTTAAGAGAAAACAAAAATATCCTAAACTTCTATCTTATTCAGAGAGCAACATGCAAACAATTTATACTCCTGCTATTAAAAAATGCCTTTATTTACTTGCTATGTGTCCTAACCCTGATCCATAGATTAAATGCTTAATCAGAAGAGACTCTGTATGAAAAACCACTTAAAGTCTTTCCCCGTCTCTTGTTCAGCGTACATAAAAAATGGAGCAGTATATTTGTTCCCACAAGTAGAATGTGAGAGTACAGATGCCTTGCTCCCTTGGAGTAGTTGTTCTTTGTTTCTTTTTTATTCTGACATGCTCACCATATATTTTAAATAAGCAAACTATGCCCAACACCCCATATTCATGCTCAAGTAAACTATCATTGCCATAATTCAATATTTTTTTGTTTTCCCTGTGGCTTCACAGTTTATGTGGCATGAAGTACACTGGTATTAAATTGCAAGGAAACAAAACTTAGCGTGAGACTGGGAAGATACAAGTGTTGGCTAAGGAATAATAGCATAGGCTGGGAGAAAGGGCTGAATCTATAAGATGTGCTGCTAATGATCTGGTTTAAGGACTCTATACATATATTCCAGGATACCAGAGGGAAGGGAGAAGGCAGATAGGATGCAAGAATTCAGAGGAACTTAGAGTCATTAAGCTGGAAAAAAACTATTTGATTAATTCTCTGCAGCAACATAAAATAACCTTATTTGAGTAAAACAAGGCTTCACCTACATTAATTCACAGGGAATTTATGCTACCTTAGATACAAACTTTATACTAACTTGTTCACTCCAGGGAAGGTTCATATTTTGGTCTGGTTTCCCCCACTGTTTTTTTAAAGCAATAATAGCCTTGTAGGTTGGCTGCAGTGTCAGCATTTATCTTGAAACTCTTGGATATTAGTTTTGACTGCAGTCACCTTTCTGACAAGTGTTATTGCGAGTGTGGTTTATATCCCTGTTCAGGATGATTTCTAATGATAATGCTGTGTCTACCTCACTGCTTCACACTAAATTATAGATACCACGATGACAGGACAAACTATATTCAAGTGCTAAACTCTACTCCCTTTGTGTGATGTCAGTGCCTTCCACACACTGTGAGTGGAATTAAAAATTAGGAAGGGGAAATATGCAAAACATTTCTGCTTAAAAATAATGTTCTGTCAGTTATTAAACAAGTGATATTTCATTTAATCAGCTCAAGGGGATTATTTTAAATGAAAAGGGAGAAACTACAATTTTATTAACACATTCCTGCCCTAGAGTCCTACTGTAATAATTCCTTACCTGACTAAATTAAAAAGTTATAATTCAGTCTGTCGACAGCATAGAGTTATGAATCATCACGTTTCATTACAGTCTGTTTGGGGATGGCATGCAGTTCAAAGAATCAGGTCTATCTTTGGCATATATATTTATAGTAAATACTGCAAAGGCACTAAAATTAGTTGAAATAGATTACTGTATAGTACTGTTAAGAAAGGGGTCTACAATGGTTGACTGGCACTGGCCACCAAGCTAAAAATTGTGGTTGCCTACCCCCTGCCCTTTGCAGCCAATGAAACACTCTCCTTCTCACAGAAAAGGTAGCGGGTTCAGAGGACTTGCCCATTTGGCTGCTACTTAGCCAAGGAGCTCCAGGAACATCAACTGAGTGATCATCAAGGAAATATCCCATTTCCCCTTCCTGCTATGAGAGGTGTGGCAAAAGGGTTGCTGGGACAACAGCTGAGATAACAAAGCAGGCAAAACACTCCCAGCCTTCTTGCAAGAATCTTACAGCATCTGGAGCAATTTCTGCCCAGTTTTTCAGCTCCAAGGTTGCAAAGAAGACTCAGCTCACCACACTCCTCAAACTATGGTGGTTCATGTACCATGGCGGGTATGGCAAACAAAGATGTAGAAACCTGATTAAGAACATGGGGAATGATCTTACTGGATCAGCCCAGAAGTCCATCTGATCCAGTCAATTGCTCCTGTTTCCCCCCCTCAGCATCTAGTAATCAGAGGTCTTCTTCTTTGGCGATCACTCGTAGCTGAGTAAGATTGTCTTCCATGAATACTGTCTTAACAGTGAGTCCGTAAGTGACTGTGGAGGCCAATTCTGCATCCACGCGTCCTTCCACAGTGGGGACGTAGGTTTCTGGGTGGGAGTTGATCACGGTGACGGTTTACCAAACATGCCATCCTCTTAGTTTGTTTCTCTTTTTGCCCTGAGTTTGTGGTTCTTCAAAGTCCACGACACGTTTGGTAAATGCTGTTCTCCAATTGGAGCACTTGCAGGCCAGTGTTTCCCAGTTATCAGTGCTTATGCTACATTTTTTTAGATTTGTCTTGAGAACATTTTTAAACCTCTTTTGTTGTCCACCAGTATTTCACTTTCCATTCTTAAGTTGGGAATAGAGTAGTTGCTTTGGAAGATGATAATCAGGCATCAGCACAACATGACCAGTCCAACAAAGTGGATATTGAAGAATCATTGCTTCGACACTGGTGATCTTTCCTTCTTCCAGTACACTGGCATTAGTTCGCCTGCCTTCCCAAGTAATGCATAAAAAAATTTGGAGACACCATTGATGGAATCTTTCAGGGAGTTGGAGATGGCATTTATAAAGTGGTCCATGTTTCACAAGCATACAGTAAGGTTAGTAGTACAATAGATTTGTAAACAAGCAATTTGACTTCCCTGTGAATGTCCCGGTCCTCAAACACTCTGTGCTTCAGGCGGGAGAAAGCTGCAGTTGCAGAGCTCAGGCAATGCTGGAGGTATGCTTCCACTGAACATGGAGGTTCTTCCCGCAGTTCTTATGGATAATACCCATTAATAGACTTATCCCCCCATTGTCCAATCCACTTTGAAAGCCAGTAGTTCATCCACACTATTGCTTCAACACTTGCAGCAATAAATCCCATTATTTAACACTTCTGTTTTAACTAGCACTTATTTTCATTGCCTTAAACCTACTGCCAGTTAGTTTCCCCAAATTCTAGTGATTGAGTGACACAGAGTATTCCCCCACCTTGCTGTATGGATTTACATGTAAGCAATTGAGTGTATTAACTTCTCTATCTAGAACATAAATTTCAGCTGAAAGCATGTGAAATGGTTAAAGAATAAAATATCTGCTATCCATTCAAGCAGAAAGTGTACTGAAAATATTCAAAGTAAATGATAGGGAAATGGAAGGTAGCTAAATATTATAAATAGATAGAAACTGAAAGAGTGGTATTTTTTATAACATTAGTCCCTGATGATTTTTTTTCATTTATCTTTTGAGAGAGACATTCTTATTACAAGAAGTGTTCACTAAAAAATTAATTGTTTATTAAGAATTAATTAAAAAGGTTTGCATTGGTCTAATTGAACTGGGAATATCTTTCGCACTTCTTTGAACTTGCAGGTGCTGCTGTGGTTGTAGTTAAGACGTTATATTATTGCTTTACTCCACCGCAAAGGGTTGTGTCAAGAAAATCTTTAATATAAAAATAAAAAGGAGTTCATGCATAAAGCATGACGCCCTGAAGCATATTAGATCTGTTTATCTCCCTGTTTAAAATGAACAGTACCTGGTATAGTTTACATAACAAGGCAGGGATCAGCTTGATAAAGCATTTATATCACCAGGGGAACACACTGGCTCATTTCCTCAACACCTTTCTGCATGACTAGCTTGCCAGCTAGTATAATAGCAAACAAAGTTTTAATAGGTCAAGAACAGAGTGGTCGCTTGTATTAAGGTAAAGCATGTTCCGGATTGTCCAATTGCTCTGGGAGTGGGGAGAGAAATACTGTATATTTTTCTGCATAGCTTTATGAGATTGTTTATTGTGTTAATTATTGGTTGGATCATTACATGCATTAAGACTTCATAAAGGGTAGCCATGTCTGTTTCAGCAAAAACAACATAAAGTCTTGTGGCCCCTTAAAGATTAACAAGAATATTATGGCATAAGCTTGCATGGACCAGAGGCTGCTCCATCAATTGCAAGTAGGGTCAAGTGGTTGTGAAATGTAAACAGATTGTGACAAGTCAATTAAAGCTTATATGTGTGCAAAATAAATCCAGTGACTATTCACAACAGCAGTAAGTGGTGATTTGATGAAGTGGACTTTAACTCACAAAACTGTATGCCAGGGGTTGGGAACTAGACCCAGACAGTGGCTAGATCTCTAATTCCTCCTCATTTCACAGGTGAACTTTGACAGGTGGGCAGGACCACCCACCTGGCATTCACAGGGCGTAATATTGATGCCAAGTGATTGAAACCTATCAAAGTTCAAATGAGGTCACTGATGGGTGGTTTCCACAACCTCATTTGAAAATGCCGGGGGGGTTTTAGTGCCAATCAGCTGATTCAAACTGGCTTACTGTAACCACTGATCAGAAGTTACAGGGTGCCCCTTTGAAGTCCATTTTGAGGAAGGGGTTTAGATTCCTCTGCCGAGGGGAAAGTGCCCCATTTGGAGAAAGCAGTTCATCCAAATGGTTTTCAGAGGCACTCTCTGTAATCAGCTGATGAGCAAGCCCCTTTGAAGTCATGCTCCCAGGTGATTGGATTTAAACAACTTCCTCCAAATGGTGCACTTTTTCTGTCTGCAGACATACCCCTCACATACCTGATAAGAAATGGATTCTCAAGAAGAGACTCATCTGATTAAAAACTGAGTAATGGTCTTTCCATTGCCAACCGTCTGAAAGGGGAAATGATAGATATTTGAAGTTAATAAGTGAAGAATGGATGGGCTAGTGTTGCTTCTAGGGATGGGAGCATGATCCGCAGGAGATCAGGGGGCATGGGGTGCCCAAAGTTTTTTCAAAGAGGGCCAGATTTGATGAAGTGAACATGCGTGAGGGCTGACCACCCCAGGTCATATACTGCCACGGGGGCCGGATTAAATTGAGCGGTGGGCTGGATTAGGCCCCCGAAATGGACTTTGGACATGCCTGGGGCAAGGTATCCATGCAGAAGTCCAGTGAATCACTGCCACCTAATCTCAGAGTTGGTTGCCTGAACAGGTTTGTGTGAGGTTTCAAGACAAGTAATGGTTTGAGTGTGGTGCCCCAGTTATGTATTTTCTACAGCAACAAAAAATATAATGGATCTTCCTTCTAGTTAGTAAGCAGTATATGGCAGAATGCAGATGAAATGGGTTTGAGAAAAATAATCAGAAGTCTGATTATTTAGATCACAAATTCACACAAGGTTTGGCAAACTGCATACTAGTTTAAGCTTAACTATTATTGTGATTGCTAGATTTCACAATATCAGTACTTTAGCTTCTATTTTCAAGTGTTCTTTCTTTTTGTGGTTCCACTTCCTAGAGTGGAAGCAAATTCTATAAATCAATACTGCTATTCCTCCCGGGAAAACAACAAAAACATAATCTGGTTTTCTGAGAGCTTCCCTCCCCCTTTCTAATTATTAATTCACTTAATTGTCTTGATGTCTGGCTTATGAAGTTGCTGAGTCTTTGTGATTATACTTCGGAAAGCCCCTTACTGTAACAAGGAAATGCTATCTAAATTACTTATGCAATAAGAATAATAATATCTGACTTTAAGGACACTTGCTTTATGTGATATTTCTATCAGCTCATTTGTTTGCATGATTCACTTCTCTTCTAATGAGGAAAGTTGATGGCTCATGATTTTCTATCAAAAATTAATCATTGTGTTGTGGTTGCATTAGTGTTGTGTAAAACAAGACCCTCCTAGGGAGCTTTTTGTAGATGTGAATGGGAGTGACATTGCACACACATTCACGTATAGTTAACAAAGAAAAAAAAACCAGGCAAGGCATTGTTTACATGTTGATCATTACCTTTTGATGGCCTACTGAGATTTTGGTCTCTCTTTGCACTAATCTTATGTTAGTGACTGTCATATTCCATTAGCAAATTTAATCTTTGCTAATGTGATAGAAAGTTGCTAATACAATGAGACTCATTAACAACTTTTGCATCGTGTTAGCAAAAGCCAAATTTGCTAACAGAATGCAAAAATTCTAATATAAGGAAGTCATAATTATGCAAATGCATGATTTTATTAAGTATGCTCCCTATATCTCACTAGCGCTCTTGCAAGATACAACAGTCAGAAAATGGCTTTCATCCCTGCCTAAACCTTGACTTACAGCAGATGCAGAGATTTTATTGTTTGTGTCAAAATGATGGCTATGCAATAAATGAACGTCTTTGTCTAGGCTTTCACATCTATCTCCACAATAACGAAGACTAGAAACTTGAATAAAAGACAGCTCAGAATCAATTCTAAAGTTGCAAGAATAAAAGGGGTGTAGAGATCCGAGAATTTGTAGGATTCCTCAGATTTCCAGACTACGTAGCAGTCACAATTGCCTATTCATATGTGATCTGGAGTGCCTGTGAACACATGGCATAAATGGTTGCATTCCCCCATTATCTCTTTCTCATTAAAGAACATATATTGGTAAGTCTAAGAAATATTTGGATGAATTGGTGCAGATGCTGAAACAGGCCATCAAACAAGTCATACTAGGTATCCAGTTTAAATCAGTTTTATAATGTTCCGTACTGTGCAATTTGTTTGCTATGAAATATGTTAATATGATTTCTTTGTAAATCTCAAAGGCCCAGAGATCTTATTGATGCTTTCCCCCCTTCAACACATGAAGTGCAGAAGTTGTCATTGAGGAGCTCTTTGAACTCCTAAATAACATACTATTGTTAAAGTAGAATAACAGTTCACACTGGTCTGCTTCTGAATATGAAAAACTGCAAACATCAAAAGTGGCATTATGGCTGCAGTCCTCAAACCACTGCATACAATAACCCATTTCACATACCTGTATAACACTAACCAAACTATGGTTTAGTGTGTGAAATTGCAGGCTCCAAAAACACAGATCATGGCCACTTTGCTCCTCCTCTTAGCGTGATTTCTGAACCTTGCTCAGTAACCAAGGTTTCTTCTTGGTTTACAGAACAACCATTATGTAGCATAGTAGCAGCAAGACCAGAGGAGGAGCAAAGCAGGCAGTGTCTTCCTTCCAGAGTCTGATGATTGCACATTTGTGTTAAGCCATGATTTAGTTTAATGTTACATGCTACATTTACATTACCGAATCCTGGCTTAATAAGCCAGCGTATGTACAAGATGAATTGCACCTGCCCACAGTGCCTTTTCTCCTGCTTCTCACAAGTGATGAAACAAGCCAAGAAACCACACTTAAGCATAGCTTCCCATTACGTGCAAGCTGGGAAACAATGGTTAATGGCTTCTAAACAACCCAGGATATGAACTCATGGATTAAAGTTGGTTATCAATTCTGGCTTGCTTGGAAGCCAGAAGAAGAAGAAGAAGAAGAAGAAGAAGAAGAAGAGGAAGAAGAGTTTGGATTTGATACCCCGCTTTATCACTACCCAAAGGAGTCTCAAAGTGGCTAACATTCTCCTTTCCCTTCCTCCCCCACAACAAACACTCTGTGAGGTGAGTGAGGCTGAGAGACTTCAGAGAAGTGTGACTGGCCCAAGGTCACCCAGCAGCTGCATGTGGAGGAGCGGAGACGCGAACCCAGTTCCCCAGATTATGAGTCCACCGCTCCTAACCACTACACCACACTGGCTCTAGTTAACTATGGCTACCTCGTTTGTTTCCCTACTTGTGTGAAGGGAAGAGAAAGGATGTGGCCCAAAGGAAAGCAGAGTAATATTTTGACACCAGCTTGGTTGCAGGAGTTGCCTGAAGGAGGCATACAAGGCGCCATCCAACTGTATTAGGGACTCCGCTCTGGATTTGTGTAGGGTTTACTCCTTAACCTTTTCTCCTCCCTAAGATATGCCATAAGGCAGCAGTGGTTTAGGATTAGAGTTTTCATTTTCCTAGATGGGCTACCTTCTGAGGTAGACCAACCTCATGTGCCCCTCACTTCCATCTACAGATAGCTGTCAACTTTTCCCTTTTCTTGCGAGGAATCCTATTTGGAAAAAGGGGATTTCCCTTAAAAGGGGGAAAAGTTGACAGCTATGCATCTACAGCAAGTGCAGAAACCTCCTTCTTGACCGTTGGACCCCTCGTTGGTCTCATTCGCTCAATCTGCTGGAGCCTAATCTTCACATGCAAGAGAAGTCCCTAACTCACTGATGGGTCTGGGAGAGTCCGTTGTAATTGCTTTACATCTTGTAGGTTTCAAGGAGATTATTAGAAAGTGAGTTGTTTCAAGATAACTCCGTCTGTGTCTCCTACAAATCTCCATCTCATCATTTACTGGACCAAGCTGAAGCAGCATCTTCATATATGATCTTTTCTTCCCAGGTTGTTTTCCTAGCGCAAAGCTGATAATGTTAATTATATCATGGCATCCTAATAAAATAAATGTTGTAGGTAAGGCAGCATCACCCATTATATGAAATAGTTCTAACACGCTTTAAAACGCCCAGTTGAAATCAAAAGCAGTGCTGCTTTTCAAGGACAGAAGGGTGAGTTGGCACACGTGGGAGAAGATTTGCTCATTAGGGAAGGTAACATATAATTAAGGTAATGGTCACAGCTTGCATGACAATAAACACCCTGGCATTTGTTTGATTACTACGTGGGTCAGAAGATCAGGTTTTTTTCCTACAAGACGTATCCACATTAGTGAATAGGTTAGAAAGTAAATTATAGCTGCCTTTCGCAGGGTATTACTGTCAAGTCCCATTGTTTTGGTTCTGTTTCTACTGTACATCACCGGCAATATGGCTTCTGAAGGCTGCATGTGACAGGTTAGGCATTTTATCCTTTGAGTAAACAGTAATCGTGGTGTGAAGAAAGTGGGGCATTGGAGAATTTTTCCCATTCTTTGAGAACTCCACTCTTCCTTTTTAGTTTGCTCCAAGGGCTCTTTGGGGATACATATATTAAGCCCTTTAAATAGTTCATAATAAATCTGTGTCTCAGGCTGATTCTGACAGGTTTTTAAAGAGTCTTTTAAGAGAGAATCCTCAATCATTTGTTAATCCATGGGGTGATCTCCAGGCTTGGAGGAAGAGAGAGAGAGAAAAATCAACAGTGCAGGCTCCTGTGTAGTGAAAATGCAATGTCGAGGAAATGATAAATATGAGCAAAAACCGAAGGAACATTGTGCTGGAGGAGTTTTAGAAAATGTGGTGTGCCAAAATAGTTTTCTTCTCAATTAGTCCGTTTCCAGGCATAGATGCTACTAAGTTTGACTTGGAGAGAAATATCTTATAATTTATTGTCTGGCATATTCCTCTCCTTGTGTTGTGTCAAGGTGTGTTATAAACCAGAGCTTGCCTGAAGGAGGGACTGACAAAGTGTGTTAAACTTGCACAAAAACCATTTGTGTGTATAAAGAGAAAAGCTAAAAGCATGCGCCATTCAAGACATGTGATAAATTCTGCCAAAATACCTGCACGGTAGGCTAATTTTAAAAGGCCTTTATTTGAGGAATGTGACAGCTGCTGATTGGTTTTGTCAAAGGTCTTGTGAAAATCCCCAGTAACAAAACAATCCTGTTCAGTTTGACAGGTGGTCTGTGGTTTGTTTGTTTTTTAATTTAAAAAAGAAAACCCACACCAAATAATGTGAATTGGTGTTTTCCAAGAAATGGACAAAGCGCTTACAGCATTTGAAGAAATATTACTGTTGAGATAATCAGTTTAATTTACAGTGCATTCCCATACATTGTCTACTCAGAAGTAAGCAACCTGAGCTATGCAGTCTCATAACTCCCAAGCATTAGCACAGCCAGGTATAGTGAAGGACTAAGAGGATAATCTAGGAGCCAGGAAGCTTTGAGTTGAAATCAAACCTCAGCAATGATAAACTCATTGGTAAACTGCTTAGCTTTTTGTCTGCCATTGGGTAGTAATAATAATATTGTGTTAGCCTACAGGGCTCTTGTAAATATCACTGCAGTTGTTTGTTTGCTTGAGGATTTGTATTTGGTTAATTTTACTTATTTATTTGTTTTATTAAATTTCTATATCACCTTTCATCCGAGGATCACAGGGCAGTAAAAAACATATAACATAATAACAAACAAGAATAATCCCCCTAAATTTAAAAGGCCATAGATTGTTTAATTAGCCAAAGGCCAGGGAGAAGAGGAATGTAATTTTGCATGATTTCATAAATCCATTCCAGTGTTCTCCCACAGTTATCTGTGATTTTTTTTCAAAAAAAAAAAAAATCCATACCAAGCTTGATATTGATATTTAAATTGCAAGAAAACAAACACAAACAGGAAGCACAAATAGAGATTAAGAAACACAGGGAATCGTTTAGACAAAACCAATACGTGCTAGAATGTGGCAGTCTTAAAATGTTTGAAATTGTCAAGTTTTGATGTTTTTGTGAATTGTGATATGTGGAAGAAATCGAATGAAGTTCAGGATAAGCCAGATGTATTCCAAAATAAAAGCTTTGTAGCACAATCCTGTCATAGATATGGAGTCCTCAGGGGAACAAGGCATTTGCAGTGAGTCTGCTGCCAGTGCCTTGCACTTCTTATATGAAAACACAGGACAACATTCTGGGATTGAAACAGGCCACAACTTCATTGATTACAGATGAAAGTGATTTGGCTCAGGCATTGGGTGATTTCCCACTCAGTCAGCCTGCCTGCTTCCTAGGGGGTCAATTCTGAGAAAGGGTGTCCCTGTGACTTAGGGAACACCTGGGTGGAATCGACTCCTTTCGGAGTGTTGTGGCCCTCAGCCCGCGATTGGACTTATGGATGAAAACACTTTCCCCTGGATCCCTTTAACAGGATGCCCCAATTCCTGGAAGG